CATAAGCTTACGTCTCCAGCGTTGTATACGTTATGTTACCTATTTAATCTTATGGTCGGTGGCGTCACTAGAGTTGTTTTCATCAAGGGCTCTAAACTTATGCTGTTACCCTATCGGACTTCTCAATGAACCCCCTACGAGTCGGCCTGCTCTGTTGCCACCCATCTCTTATACTTATGGCAACCTGATATGATGGCGTCTTATCCTGGTGACAGTTGCACACTATTCTTATATTAAACTTTGATGTGTTTAGAAACCATCTTGATCGAGCTCTGTCAATTAACTATTTCCATGTGTTGTCTTCCCCAAGTGAGGGCATGACGTCATTTCAGTTGTTGGTTTTTTTTTTTTTTTAATTAAAAAAGGGAGGGGGGAAGGTGCAAAGCCAAAACTTGTCCTGCTTGTTGTGGAGGCGCCACAGTAGGCCTAGATAGCAATTGAAATTAGAATTGCCAGATTATGATTTATGTTTTTTTTATTTTAAATGAACGAAAATTTTGTTTTCTTTTTCTTATTTTCAACTAAGTTTCATTTTCTACTGTCCTAGATACTCAGACCTATATAAAAAACAAAAACAATTTTAAAAAAAACTGCAAATTCAGGAGGGGACAAATGCCCCCCCCCCCTCCCCGCTCTACCCAAATGACGTCCATGTGTGAGGGTGTCAGCCACCTGATAGGTGTATTCCTCCTGTGTGGGAGTCACTGGGCGTATTCAGCCCCAGGCGCCCCTAGGGACTCCACTGCTTATGGTTATAAGAAATGCAGAGGTTTTAAACAATTCTCACGAGGAAGCATTCAAAAAGTTGCTGCCCTTTGCAATAACATATCTTTGCGAACAATGATTTCTTCACTCTAACGGGAAAAAAAGAAACACACTTAGCACATCAATCAATTATTCAACTCCTAAGATAGCATCCTAATTTCTCTGATTTATAAAGAAAAATCCAATTTCAATAGCATTTTAATTCAATCAAAATGAATCATTTCTACAAAATTTGAAGTGCATTTTTTTTTTCTCAAAATAATTATTTCGTTCCATTAATAGGATTTTATTAATTTATTTGATCAAATTTAGTTGTTGCTTTTTTGTAATTATATTCTCTTCTAACTGATTCAATAAACATTTTGGTATTAATGGCGTCACATACGTAAACTAGTGATAAAGCGCATCAAGAAATTGATTGTCTCAAATTGTTAATTAAGCAAACTTAACACGTAACTATGATATTTATAAAATAGAAATGTAAAAATTAAAGTATAATTTAATTAACGGTCAATTATGTGATGTTAAGGCATTCTCTTCCAAAGGGAACAAACCCAGTTTTATTTTATAAAGATAATTCAATTGCGGTATGGTTTTCTTTCCCTTTCGTGAACAGCATTTTTAAAGGAATAAATAATTTTGGTCTTATCAACTCTTTGTCAATTAAAACAAAATATTATAGGGGATATTAGTATCTGTGTGCAAAGAAACACTTCACGACTCACACCAAAAGCACTACTCAGTGTTCTGAAATTACAGGTGTGTAACCAGACAGGATTATAAAATTCTTACCCACTTAAGTCACAATAGTAGTCTAGTAAACACTATGATGACTATTCCTCAAATGTGTCTAAATAGTACACCAAGATGATGAATCAAAATTGACTCCAGTAAATACTGAATATTCTCTCTTGTAGAGAAAGATAGACCTCATTTAACCTTTTCTGTTGATTATCCAACTATGACTATGTAAGTTTATCGAAAACTGATGGCATAGTGATTAGATTCAAAGTCAGATGAAGAAATTATAGGTACTATGCTACTAAAAACTACTAGACCATCAAAACATTCAGTTTGTGACATGGACTACATGACACACTATATCCATGTTGTAGCTGCAGTCAGAACAAACATATTTAGATATTACTGTCTATGATTCAACTGCAGTCACTCATCCTAATCTTGATCCCGCTTCTTTACTGGCATCATCATCAAGATCTTTTAGTTTACAACCATTGCAAAAGGTTTTTTAAATTTTACTCCGGGTAATGGGATTGTGATTAGGTTGCATGTATTGTAACTTTACTCTGATTTCTTTCTGTGGTGTGTTTGACTAAAAAAGTAGGCTATTTTAAACAAAATATATTTCTACCAATTTTGAAAAAATTTGGATATCAATTATTCCTTATGTTCAGTATAAAAATGCTAGGAGTGGTGTTTGAAAAGTGATCAATTATAAACTGGTGGTGTTTGGTCGATTTTCCATAATTATTACTTTTTAAAAATAAATTATTCACAAATAATTTTTTTTTTAACATTCTGATTACATTTATAAAAATATTTTTAAAAAAATGCCATTCAATTTCCTTGCAATGGTGTATAACACTTCCTTTCTATAATAAATATTACAGCTTATAATACGGGGAATATGATTTGATGGTATTAATTGAAAATTTGCTGAGCATTTTTCTGCCGCTATAATTTTTGCTAAAATTTATGTATTTAATTAAACATTTTAAAAATAATTTAATCAAACTTGAAGAAAATTTGATTTAAAAAATAATTGAATATATTGACAGTGTAAAAAATATTTTGTAAATCAAAATTTTGAAAAAAATAAACTGTCTGTGCTGTTGTAAAAAAAACAAAAGAAAAATAATTTTTATAGTCCAAATGTATTACAAAGTAAATTTTAAATAAAAGGCCATTTTATTTCCTTTCCATTGATATGCAACACTTAGGGTCTATCTCTCATATTAATCTCAGGATTTAGATTTATGTTTAACAGTGGTCTTGTTTTTTGTCTGAAAGTGCTTAGTAAAACTGTGGAAATATTTAATATTTTCTTTTAAAAATTGCATTTTTTTCTACTGTGGAAATATTTAATATTTTCTTTTAAAAATTGCATTTTTTTCTACTTCATCTATCACATAAACGAAAGGCTACCCAACAAATTTTTTACAATTTTTTTTATTCAAGGTAGCAGAATGGTAAAGAGCAAAAAGCTGATAAATAAGTTACAAAAAGTATAAAGTTTTGTGTATATTTGGTAACACCTTCAAACAAATTTATTAGCTTTATTAACTCATTATGAAATTTATTATATCAAGATTCATGTAGTGGATAAAATCCAGCCAATGATGTCTTTACCTACATTTGCTGCATAAACTGAGTGTAAACACATTAACATTTCCAACTTTAAATCTACCAAAGAAGTTAAACCAAGACATAAGCCAATTTCTATAAATAACTGATGGATAACAGTCAATATAGTTGGCCTATATAGATCTCAAGGTCTTTTTCAAATTGATGTACAAAATTGATGTATTGCATGAACTCTGCTAGTATTAAGTACCTTTATATGAATATATGAAAAGGTTCAAATAAAATAATAAATCTTAGGTAAACCTAATATTCTTACACTTAGTTCAAATCCTGCAAAAGTGAACATCTGAAAATTTAAAGCTTCAAATAGTATACCTATATTAGATTATTAAAAAAACATCACTACAAAGAGAGGACAGGTTAAATTTTTTTTCTGGGGTCATCTACACCAATGGGAAAACAGCTTTGTAGAATAAATGGGGGGGGGGGGGAACAGAAAAGGCAGCCCAGCTGTTCTTGAGAGGGGGGGTGCCCAAACCTATATTAGATTATTAAAAAAACATCACTACAAAGAGAGGACAGGTTAAATTTTTTTTCTGGGGTCATCTACACCAATGGGAAAACAGCTTTGTAGAATAAATGGGGGGGGGGAACAGAATAGGCAGCCCAGCTGTTCTTGAGAGGCGAGGTACCCACTATGTAATATGCCTCATCCACCAAAATGGAAAGGGAACTGCCGATTAAGTGTTAAATAGGATTTTACACAATTCCAACATACCGTACACAAAATTTTATGAAGAGATGTTTTAAACCTTTTCAGTCTCCTTTCTCACAAGAATATGATAATAAAAATCTTTAGGTGCAAATCATTAATACCGTTACAAGATTTGTTCCTTAAATAAAAATAGAAACAATGTTTATCAGATTTTTTAAAATATTGACGTTTGGTAGTTAAAACATGTACGGTGGACCAAACCAAAATACAATGCACCAGCAATGCGTGTTTCCGGAATATCCAGTTCTCAGATCTCAACAAAGGCAGAGTCTCATGGCATTACGAGGCTAAAAGAAAGGGTTTTTAGTGACACAAGTTATTATTTACATTAGTATAAGTGTAAGCCTGACCAATTAAGTGGTTGATAAACTTTTTTTATATTTTTGTAATATGAACTGTTTCATCCGGTTGTCCATTCAAATAATTTTAAATGGCTTTCCACAACAAGAAACTAACGCACAGATGCTGTTACTGCCATGAGTATTTCAACTGTTCTCTTATAATAAGCTGGTTGAACAGCTGGGATAACCATTCATGGTCACCCACTCAACCTCTGCCCTTCACAGACAGCTTGTGTAACACAAATGTTAATAATAAGAGTAGTGGGTTGGAAAGGGCGCCCCAGCAAACAAAACAACAAGACAAGTAAATTAGACAGATTGTGTACCGGCGCCATAACAATTTATGCCTTTTGTTACATAAGTTATAACATTATATTTACAGCCTATAACATTCCTTATTTTTATCATACAATATATTGCAACAGCAACCATTTTCACCATCCAAGCTGATTGTGTTGCTTACCAAGCATCTACAGCTCAAGCCACGTGAGGCCCAACAGTCACATTTTGAGGCTATCATAACATTATTACCGGTATACGAGGTTTGGAGTTGCACAAGCATGGAAAGGACCCTCTGAGGCTTGATTGAAACATTAGTTTATCTGACACTCTCAAAGAAATAAACATTTTATGGTTCAGTCCATACAATTAGAAAACATTAACTCCAGAATAATCACAAATATAAAACTTTAAAAAAATAACAATTCAGCTATTTACATATGAAACATTATTACATTGATTTTATTGAAAGAGCTTAGAAATTGAAACTCCTAATATTACTTATAGTTATAGGCATTTTATTTCACAACTCTTTAAAAAAAAAAAATTTCAACATTCTAGAAAAGCAAACTTGACATAGGATATTAGGACAAGTCTAACAATGTTATATCAGCTGTTTGATCAGCCACATATAAAATTTGTTCATTATTGGCTCTATATGGTATCATCCAATTAACTTTACTTGGGTGACTCAAGGTGCGCATTTTGCAGAGCTCTGATATTGCCAGATTTTTATCATCCTCTGGATTGGCATGGCCCCCGTTACCGTTCATGTAAACAGCTGCAGGTTCATACAGGTCTGCCTTGGTGAGGTCCCACTGGTTTATACACGCATCGTTGCCGGCAGAGAGAAGAATGTCATCGGTCAGAAAATGAACCTGGGAAACACCCTGGACATGACCAAAGAGAGCAAACTTTGACTGCAAGTTTTTCTGAGATCCATTAAAAATGGGGATCTGGCCATTTTCAAGAGCACAAGCTAAGATGCTACCACTTGATGAAGTTGCCATGTGATGTACAAATGGTGGGTTAATCATGTAGGGTGTGTCTCCTGGGGTGGCGTGCAGCTCCTGCATGTTGAATTGATTTAAACATTTAGGCTTGGAAAAATCCCAGTGGACCAATCGGCAATCAAGCCCACCGCTCACTATTTCCCATTGGCGACCAGGTCGAAAAATAGCGGTTGAGCATATATTTGTGTGCTTGTGTCGCAGAGTTTTGAAAACCTTTCTGTCTTGCAAACCAAAGACTTTAATTTCACCAGAATCATCGCAAGCTGCTAAAAACTGTTCCTTAGAATCCAATGTTACTTGATTGATTTCATCTTGATTGGAATGAAACACATACACCGGGTCCTGAAGTCTCTGTGTATCTAAAATTAAAACCTCTTCACCAAATGCAGCATATATTACGTTAGGGTTTTCTTGTGAGAATACTACTGATGTACAGTCGACATCTGGCTTGATAAGCTTGTCTTTTAACTGTCCTTCATGTGTCCAAACACACAGCTCACCCCCCTCACTGCCAGATACAACTTGTCCAGTTTGCACTTGGATATCAACACACAACACTGAATTGGTGTGGCCACCAGTCAATTTTGTAGGACTCATCTGGGGTAGTATAAAATATATTTCAATGTAATGTAATAGTGTTGATAATTCTATTTTAACAAAACTCAAAGAACAAACAACAGATATTAATTAATAAAATTACTTTATACAAATATAGAGTATATATCTGGTTTTTGAACATTTACCTCATTTGTCCTGGTTAATCATGAGCTGTAACCAGTACATACAGTTAAAGAATACATAAATTACAATAATTAATTTCACTAAAGGTCGAGTACATCTCATATCCAAAAATAATTCATCCAAATAAGCATCACAAAAATATTTGTTTTTCAAAAGCACGCCCCAATTACAGTAGTGTTCTCTGCGTAACGACAAATAAAATTTAATTTTTGGATGCCTAAATGATTTTAAATGTCCTGTTTTTGAATTTGAAAAAAAAATAATTGTCAACTAAGACTAAATTTTTATTTAACATAGGCAAGGTACCTACTACTGGTACATTATGTAACGTAGGCCTAGGCCCTAGTTCTATTTTAATATGTAATATATCATAGTATAAATAATATATAAATATATATAATATAGACGTATTAGGGGCCACCCATAAATGACGTCACGCATATAAAGNGGGGGGGGGGGGGAGGTGTGCCTTAAGCAATGTGACGTCACATGATACCATAGTAAAGAATTGCATTTGATAACCCTAATTTACAGACAGTTTTAGCTTTATTATTTAATACAACCATTATAATTATTTTATTTTTAAACTATGATCCCCGAGAGAATCAGTAAAGGTATGTGAGATCCGAAAAATGGCCTCTAATAAGTTACATAACGACATGGAGGTGGAGAATCGGGATGTAGTTACAATGACAGTTGTGAGAATATATGGCTAACTGTGGACAAGGGAGTCATAGAATTAGGGCTACCAGTTGAAGTGGGTTGTAACGAAAAAAATGGTCGACCGGTGGGGGTATCTTAGTAAATGTTCTAGGTCAGCGATTCTTAACCTTTTTTGCAGTGCTGCATGCCCACTCAGTTTTTAACATCACCCATCCCCCCAAACCGTAGAAACTATATTTTAATCAAATTAAAAATATAAAAATAATTAAATAATTTAGTTATCCTAGTTTTATTTCTTTTTTACTTTTTATAAAAGATTTTTTTTTTAAATTACCAATGTTGGTAATGTGCCAACAAAAGTCACCAGAAAAACATTTACTGCTGCTAATCAAAATACATAAAAACTGTTCTGTTTTTTTTTTTTTAAAGCAGCAACAACTAGCAATAAGCTATAGACTATGGGAGCAAATACAATTTTCTGGTCTTCCACATCTCACTGTTCTAGTGAATCGTTTCTAACACAGGTCGTGACAGGTGCAGTAATTTGATATCGATGGCCATGGAAGGTGAATTTCTTAAGGGTTTGTAAAGGACTGTAGTGGACACAGGGGCTTTTTATAGGGGAGGGGTGCAGAGATTTGTGACTTTATATTTGGGGGCGGGGGGGTCTAACTTTTTTGTGACGATAGAGGGAAAGGGAAGGGGGTAAATTTTGAAAGATCTTCAAAATTTGTGTGAAAAGTGATATTTATTGATTGATGAATGGCCCCTTACTTGAAATGTATGTCCCAGTTTTTACTTAAAATTATTTTGTCATGAATTTAAACTTATTTTTTTTTTAAACAAATATTAGGCTCCATTAACTCTCTATAATATTACTATATTTTCTAAGCCACATTTTGAAACTGAAAGTAAAAGTGTTGAAGAATGAAGTCAAAATGTTACTATCTAAACCTAGAGTCCTAGACCTAAGCCTAAGTGTTGCTTGTCTTTTCCCCTCACTCATCAAATGATAAATGGTAGGGCTATGATTAATAAGGATTTTTTAAATATAACTTTTAAGTTATAAGTATAAGCCTAACTTGCCCATATCTCTTTAGCGGGATTAGCGGTTAGCCCCGATGTCGATGAGTATGGCCGCACTGATGCCAACAAAAATTAGTAGTAGACTGTAGCCCACAACATAATGATCAGTCTCTATTCGTGGTATTTGGAACTAAATATTTATATGATCCAATATTTGAAAATGAATTCTGACAGAGTTTAACTAAATAACTATTATTAACTGATATACATCGTATGTACCGTATTTTCTAAAAATGTCTTGCTTCTGTCGGTAGTGACTGATCCAATCCACACTAAAACTTTTATTCATGGGTTGCTTGACTGGTTTCTCTTCTTACCGAATTCTGAAATGTTTTTGATAAAAATACGAGATGCTTTTAACAAATATTTTTCACTTCATATTATTGGGCGTTGGTTTTAAATAGATCCTAATCGGAATAATTATGAATATTAAGTATAAAAAGTGGCTAAGACGCGTTTAACCTCATCTTATTGTTACCAAGGATAATATTAATTAAATTGAAACTTCAAACAAAATAATGTTAGATTAAAGGAAAAAAAAACATTTAAAAAAAAACAATTGAATTGTACAAAAAGTGAGTTGCATGAAAATGGTGCTTTTCTGCCTCCGAAATAACATTAAGTCATTATAACTTATCTTCAGCCTCAAAGTACTAACTATTATCAAATTTGTTCTCACATGCAAAGGCCTTTCAGATAAAGCAGCTAGATTTTTTTTAAAATATTTCATTTTTGATAATTTCTTCTCAAACAAGTTGGTAGTGTCAAAGATTTTAATGAATTCACGAGCGAAGATTTTAAATAAGCCTAAGCTAAGCAAATTGATTGCCAGGGAGTCACCTATAGAGGTATGCATGTTTTTATTTTCTGTATCTGTCTTTCGACTAATCATTGGATTGCATATCTATCACTTTCATTTGACGTTCTGCTGGCAATTTATCATGAACACCGCCAAACGACATCCGGACTGGATTCGTCTATGTCTGTGACAAATTAAATGTCCTCCACATGCTTACTATGATCAGACGCTAATTCTTCTATCACTTCAAAATCAGCTAAGAAGTAGCAGTCACATCCGTTGACTCGTCGGGTGCAAATGTGCAAATGGAAAACGTTTCAATCTCTTTAACATAGTCTCTCTAGGTTTCGACACCATATATTGCCTCCTGTTCCCATATTTCACCTTTCCACTAATAACTGTTTTCACCGAAAGGCTAACAGTTTTTATTACCTTTAACATTTTCAATTGGCTGTCAGAAGTTGTCCGGCCAACGTTACATACTTTAATTTACATATTACATATCTTCCCCACTTTAAAATAGCTATTTTGAGCCACCACAATTCTCTTTCCCTCATATGGCCTTTATATTGACGTCATCGAGGAAATGTGCTAAGCCACTCATTTCTCTCCCACCCCTTTCTTGGCTGAAAAAAAAACCTTGTTGATATTAGAATGGGTTCGATTGATTCTAAAGAATGCCATTAGGTCAGTGGTCGGAAAATTGCGGCTCATGAGCCGCATGCGGCTCTTTAGTGAACTGAGTGCGGCTCGGCCAGTCGGCCAAAAATCGGGGTTGACTCCGAAAAACATGGTTCTTGACAAGTTCAGAAATTTGGCTCTCAAAATTTGTTTAATTGTCCTGCTGTTGATTTTTGGCTATTTTGACTAGTCTAATGAGTTTGCCGACCACTGCATTAGTTGACGCACTTTCTAGAATTTCTGTACTTAAGCGTTCTGATTTGGTTCCTATAAATTGGCTGCCTGCTTGCTTAGCAGATAGACAGAGCGAGACTGTATAGTTCCTATATATGTGTTGTTCGTCCGTCGAATTTGACTTGGTCCTAGGGCCTGAACAATCCCTAGCATAGGGCCTAAACAATCCCTAGCATAGGGCCTAAACAATCCCTAGCATAGGGCCTAAACAATCCCTAGCATAGGGCCTAAACAATCCCTAGCATAGGGCCTAAACAATCACTAGCATATGGCCTAAACAATCCCTAGTATAGGGCCTAAACAATCCCTAGCATGAACCTCCAGGCCTCACACCTTGCCGCAATACGTCAACTATTGGCCTATACCCGCGACACTTCCGCGGTAAAAGTGGATATTACTTCTTTTTGATAGTGTGTATCTTTACATTTGTACAGATGTCTATGTTAACCAAATGAAAATTTTGTCAATCGCAATTAATCGGGCGGCCTAGAGAGTCAAAATCCACCCTCACCCCCCCCCCCCCCCCCGTTATGATTTCTGTTGAGGGTTTGGCAAAAGAGATATAGGAGTCAGGCGGTAAACCCACTGGATGGAAATGTGGACCATAAGAATAAGGAGATAGCACGGACAGTCTCGAGCAGTCTAGATACCGAAATAATGAAACACTAAGAGACGACACGGGATGAAATATAAAAACTCTAGTTTGGACATGGTTAAAATATTATTCAACAGTTTTTTCCTCTTCATTTCATGTTATTTAATAGTATTGCAATATCATTTATATACAACGCGGCATATTTTACTTTACATTCGCCACAACTGAGGCTATTTTGGGAAAAGGTTGTCTACCTTGGTCTAGGAATGTTAATCCATAGCGATACGTTCAGATGACAAGTAAATTAACACTCAACACAATGTTCTCATGTAATCAGCAAAGCTATCTTTACACACCGGTCAGTTTTGTTCACCAATACAAACTTACATCAAACGTAAATGACCGATCTGGCCGCAGCGCAAGTTAATAATGATGTTTAACAATTATTAGTATAGCTCATTTAAGGAATAGCACGAACGTGGATATCCGAATCCAGGCATTTCTTATGGCCCGAAATGCGTTTCTTCCACCCTACACGATCACAGGAACACATCAGTTTGCCTCAATCTTTGAGGGACATTGAAAAATGATACAAAGTCATTTAAGAAACATTTAAAGAACTTTTACTTTCAATAGATTTTAGGACACCATGGCAGAGCGCCGTGAGCAAGCTACAATAGCATGGACACAAGCGCTTTATAAAAGTACCCAATCATCATGATCCTCATCTATCAAAGATAAAATCATTTAATAATTCTCAAATCCTATTTTTTAACTACCGAGATACCACCACTCATGGGAAAACTACGTTCAAACCACTGCAACGATCATGGTCATGTTGTGATATATTGCTTTTCATCGTCGTAACATCTCACAGGGGACGAAACGCTGTGTGCCGTAGAGTCAAAACTATGACTAGGGACTTTCCAATAAACGATTTACCTTCCCCCCCCCCACTTTCCTCCTAGCTTCCCATGTTCCCTCCAGTGGTTAGCTGTTTCCCTTTTTACGGTCTATCACCGACCAGGTTAAATGGTGATAAAAGACAACAACGATAAAAACAATTTAAAAAGAATCAAATCCAATAAACGATTTACCTTCCCCCCCCCCCCACTTTCCTCCTAGCTTCCCATGTTCCCTCCAGTGGTTAGCTGTTTCCCTTTTTACGGTCTATCACCGACCAGGTTAAATGGAGATAAAAGACAACAACGATAAACACATTTTAAAAAGAATCAATCAATCAAAGTAAAATTAAAGTTGGATCAGTCTCTTTTTTTTTTATTATCTTGTATTTCCGAGGACATGAGTAAAACATAGTATGGGAACGCAACAATTAAATACAGTGAACGTGTCGACAGGAAGCCTTCGTCAGAGAACAAACAACAGCAAAATCACAAAATTAAATTTAAAAAAAAATAGCACTTAGCTGAAAAGTAGTATCAGAGTGGGCAGAAAAAGAATTGGGACATAAAATAAGTAGGTGAGAGATGAAAATTTTCGACGAAGGTCACCCTCACTTACCCAAACATATAAACAGTGAATTAACATCAAAAAACAAGTTGAGCATTTTAATTCCCTTCCAATGCTAAACATCGGATATCATCGTGTGTTTGGAAATAGACTTCATCAGTGGGAGTTCTTTTGTTGTTTGTTTATTCTCATAGCGTTCGTTTCCGCAACCGGCACCGAAACGGTGGCGTCTGTCTCACTAACATTTTGACACTGTGGTCCGGGTGGCAAGACCCGAGAGGTTCTGTGGCCGGGGGCAAAAGGTCAAACTTCTGCAGGATCTGGGTCAAGAAGAGAAAGACTCTAGACCTGGCGAACACTTCTCCTGGGCACATCCGGTTTCCGATCCCAAAAGACAAGAGACTGAAAGAATTTAAAATATATTCCGAGGCGTCATTTGATGTCACGAGAGAATCGTGTATGTTTAAATTGGTAAGTTTAATTTTACATTTGATTTTAAATTAAAAAGTTCTATCCATTTTAATAAACAAATTATTTATTAATTTATCAAACTTTTCTTTTAAAAAAAATTAATAAATCTTTTGCTTTGGTCTTCTAATTCAAAGTATTATTGTCATTAAGAAAAAGCACCTATGTATTATCAAATAAAGCCGCTAATGCTTTCAAACAGTTACATGATTTGAAACAATGTCCCTTTTTTTCCATTTTAATAGCTTTTATACCTTTCACATTGGTTTTAAAAAAGAATATTTCCTATCAATCGATATATTAATCTTGTTATGTAAATATAATATATATATATATATATATATATATATATATATATATATAAACCCAATACGTACAATTTGTATTTACAATTTTTGTTGGGGATCGAAACGACAGCCCTAGAATTTGGCGCTACTGGGAGTTGCCCGATTAGCCTGTTCCAAAGACAGGCCCGGCTGAGAACCGCGGTTACTACACTCAATTGGTGAGGTCAAAATATTACCAGGAATCCGGTTATTGTTCTTTGAAACGATAACTGTGTTTATGATTATAGATAAATTATTATTATTATTTTTTTTTTTTTGGTAACTTCAGATACAAGTGGGTTTTGTTAGCTTACTTCTTTCGTACTGGATTGTCCGCAGGCAGAATCTGGCCGGTGGCGTCCAAAAATCGTTCTGGTTTAAACTTCCAGGGGTCATCCCAATATTTGGGGTCACGATGGAAATACCAGGCGTTTACAATGATCTGAAATATTATTGTGGAATATTTTTGTATGTCAAGAAATATAATGGTATAGAGAAGTTAAAAAAACTAAAAACTTTAAAATAAATAAATTGATACATTTATACAGTGCCCATTCTTCACCTTCTTTGTCTTTTCAACTCCATTAATTCATTAATTTCCAAGCCTTCCGGTGTCTTATAGATATCTTCTCTAGTTCTTTCCAGTCTTTAATACATCTTTATCGATGTCTCTGCTCCAGGTGTTTTCGGTCTTACTTGTCATCTTGATCCTCGAGGGTTCCATGCCAGTGCTTCTCATGTTATATTTGGTATGGGCTTCATACCAGGGATTGTCTTGTTTTGTTTGGCATTGTTTTACTCATGGCATGAACTATCCATCTCCACCCTCTTTTCCGACATTACTCGCTCCACTGACATTTGTACTGTCATTTTCCCTCAATATTTTATGTAGCCACTTGACGCCGAGGATTTTATGCTTGCACTGGGGTTTGAAGTCTTTTCCGATCTTTCTTGTCTGATCTCCAGCTTTCTGAGTCACACAGCAGAACACACTCAACGTTTGATTTAAACATTCAAATGTGTGTCTTTCTAATTATTTTCCTAAAATTTACATGTTTTTAAGCAAGGCAAAGGCTCCTCTTGCCTTCAGTATTATTTCCTTCAGTATTCCGGCCTCCCGTGTTCTTGCCTTCTGTATTCTTGTCTCCTGTATTCTTACTTTTTGTATTCTTGCCTCCTGTATTTCTGCCTCCTTTGTTCTTGCCTTTTTCAATTCTTGCCTTCCGTATTCTTGCTTCTTGTATTCCTGTCTCCTGTATTCTAGCCTTTTGTATTCTTGCCTTCCGTATTCCTGCCTCCTGTATTCCTGCCTCCTGTATTCTTGCCTCCTGTATTCTTGCTTTGATGTATGCAACTAAATCCGCCATGCTTGCTAACAAAACGTCCCAGATATGTAAAATCATCGACTTCTTCTAGCTTTGTCTCTCTTACCGCTACAACTACCGCGCTATTTGAATTTTTGCATTTATTCTCACATTACCAAATCTATTTTTATTTTTTTTTTTTTGTTGCGAAAGGAAAAGGTCTACTTTTAAATTTCAGAGTTAAATGCGTGACTGCAACAGTTCATCGAGTTCATACAACTCGAAATGTGTACCCTTAGAGCATTAATTTTGCAACTGATAACATAATGGAAATGTATCACTATCTACATATGACGTACCAGTGTATCTTTTGGAATGAAGTAAGACTCGACGTTCAGATTTTCTTTTGTGTTCCTGATACAAAGTAATGGGAAGAACGTGCTGTATCTGGAGAACAAAACACAAACATGTATTGAATGATTGCAAAAAACACAAACATGCACTGAATGATTGCACAAAACACAAACATGTACTGAACGATTGCACAAAACACAAACATGCACTGAATGATTGCACAAAACACAAACATGCACTGAATGATTGCACAAAACACAAACATGCACTGAACGATTGCACAAAACACAAACATGCACTGAACGATTACTATGTTCTGTGAGAGAATCAAGACAGTTAATCGCAATACATTCTGCTTCATGTGGGGAGGGGGGGGAGCACTAAGAGGGATTCTTAGAAATATCGTTACTTGTATGCATGTTTAGTTAAATTTTCAGAGCCCCCCCCCCCCTCCCCATGCTTGATATTACATTTATAAAGGATTTATTCGGAAAAACTTTGTTTCATATGGGCTCCCCTCACCCCTTTTTTTCCTTCAATTAAAAAAAAAATATTTTGCTACTTCCTCTTCAAAACCGGCCCCCCACCCTCCCAACTCCATATGTTTTATATTTAGAATAATGAGTTTAAAAAAGGCTGTCACGCTGCGAGCTTCATGTGTGATGTCTGAACTCCGGTTGCATTTTTAAAAATAAAAAATGAGAAGTAAACTCTTTTTTTGTGTGTTTTTTTGTTGTTGTATTATTTGAACCCACCAGGTATTTTCTCGAAATATCTGGACTCGTAAAAACAACAACTGCATCTGGTTAAGCCCAAGCAATACGTATTACAATAACACGTTGAACAATTCACAGTTATCCGCCAAATTGAAATTACGGAACCGGATATAGATGGTGTCTAGTATTTATACAGTACAGTAATGGGATCTGTTTCCTCGTTGGGAACAGAAACTCTATGAATGTAAGTATCCAGGATTTATTAAAAAAAAAAAAAAAAAAAAAAAAAAAAAAAAACCAAAAAACTAAAAAAAAAAAAAAAAAAAAAAAAAAAAAACTTGCCGTAAGACTTCTAAAATGACAGCTTCAGTGTACGGCATGGACTGTCTGTCTTCCACTCGTGGTCTTCTCTCGCCCACCACTCGGTCGACCTCGCTCTGCATGTTTTTGACCACATCTCCGTGGTGTAGCAGGATGAGGAAAGCATGCAGTATAGTGGCACGTGATGTAAGGTGCGCTGTGTGCGAGTACAAGATCTGGACATGATCAGACAAGCGATAGGAGGAGATGGTTCCAAGGCAGTGGCGTAGGAAGGAGGGGGACGCAGAGGTGGCACTTTTTTGTTCATTTTGAAGGGTGGAATTTTCGGGCCAATTTCAGGGCACTTTTCTCGGTTTGGGGGGGGGGGGGGGGGGAAAATTCCGAAACCGCCCCGGGTGGCGTGAACTCTAGCTACGCCACTGGTTAAGTGTAAACCTATGAGATAATCTAGAACTAAATGAAGGATGTCTGGCTTTTGTCTCTTACCAAAAAAAAAGAAGCAAATTATATTAACATTGCAACTTATTTTTTTTTAATGGTGATCCCATGTTGTGCGAGCATTTGTTTAAACACGCAAGTCATTTGATCTGGATCCCCTTCTGGGTGTCGGATCCGCCCCCGGGTATCGCATTCCCCTGTCACACATAATTCAACGCAACATTTACTAACGTTTGAGCATTGAATTATCTGAAATTCTGATGTTTCTGCTAGTGTTTGCCTAGTGGTGTTTGTGTAATAAAGAAGACGACAGCTGTCGACTAAACTAAAATGTCGTTAATACAGAAAATACAAATATAAAGTTAAAAAAAAGGATTTTGCATGATGCCGGAAAATATTCTGGTATGCGTTAATATTAACGAGACATTAGGCTCCTATTTTTGTGTTTAAATATGCAAGGTATGTAATTTAAAAAGAGGAAGGAAGGCAGATAAAAACAAAGTTGTGGAACAAACACAAGGCAATGCTTAACAAAAAAAAAAAAAAACGTACCAGCGAAAAATAAAAGAGTTAGCACTCCTTTTATATGTTCGTCATCCTTCAAGAATTCGTAGCCCGGTTCGTCTCTATGCTGCAGGAACACATCGGCGATGCCCCGAATATTTTTGGGGTCAAAGGATTCCTAGACAGAATTAACAATTTTTTTTTTTTTTTTTTAAATTTGGCAATCAAACACATATCATATTCCAGGTAAGACAAAAAAAAATATGTTGATTTTTTATCCTTTAATAAATAATACATTGGTTAATTATTATTATTATTTTTTTAAATGTCAAATGTTCTAGCCTTTACATTATTATATAGTCCAGGGACGTGCTGGCACATGGAAACCCGTAACAAACGGTGTAGTAAGAAAGCCACGGAGACCGCCCCCCCCCCACCCCCCAAAAGGCCCATGACGAATGCTCGTTGCGTCGTCCGTGGGCCAGCACGTCCCTGGTATAGTCTCCTACATATATATATGACACGTCTTTGAATGTGAGATATATTTGTTCTCTCTATCATTGTGTTTGTTTCGTTTTTCTTACAGCTTCGTATTTCAAATTTTTTTTTAATCATATAGCTAAAACGAAAAAAAAAAAAAAAAAAAAAAAAAAAAAAAAAAAAAAAAAAAAAAAAAAAAAAAAAAAAAAAAAACAAAAAAAAAAAAACAACTCACACGATACATTAGTAAAAATAATAATCAACACCTGCCAATAATCACATCACAGTGGTCATAAGTAAAATCGTTAACAAATTGATTCTTCAAATGTTTTGTAAAACATTAACGACATGCTGATCCCTTTATCGAGCCAAACCTAACGCAGCCTACCTCAACGCGACTCATAAAGTGAGCATATAGGCCTATTCTTCGATAAAAGTAATAATAATACAATAATAATAATATTAATGTCTATTTTCAGTAAACGATAAATTAAAGTAACATTGTTGCTCTAGCAAAGCCATTACGTCTTGTAGGTCATACACCCGGTGAGCCTCTTCAGTAGCTACCTACACCAAACAGGTCTGCAAGCATTCACATAGCCAAGCACAACTGTCATACATAAATGTCAATATTCATTTTTTATTTTTCATTTTGCCAATCAAAATACATCATCACATCTTTCAACAAAACAAACTTCATTTTTTTTTTTTTTTGGTTTTTTTTGTTTACCTTCATCCTCGTAAACATGATGGTCTCGGCCCTGGCTCTCGTTTCTAGAACTTTCTTGCACGCGGCCCTGTACTTCCCAGAAATATTCATTGTTTATTTTTCATTTTGCCAATCAAAATACATCATCACATCTTTCAACAAAACTAACTTCTTTTTTTTTTTTTTTTGGTTTTTTTTGTTTACCTTCATCCTCGTAAACATGATGGTCTCGGCCCTGGCTCTCGTTTCTAGAACTTTCTGGCACGCGGCCCTGTACTTCCCAGGCACGTACCTCATCCACGGCGCGGCCATCAAAACCAGGTGGATGTCTTCCGATGCGAGCCTGTTGACTGCGAGGTCGTACTCCACTATGGCGTCCGCATCTGATTCGTTGGGTGGCCTCTCCCCGTTAATCTGTGTGGATTAGGATGAAGGCACTGTTCTGTGTTTTCCGTTGTGTTACACTTGTTGATGTCCTTACACCGTGTGCCGGCTCAAGGTACCGGCAACTCGGGCAGTTGCCAGGAGCGCTAATTGGTTAGGGCGCCAATTGGTTAGGGCGCCAGCAGCGATATTCCAAAATAGGAAAAAAAAGCATTGCAAGTGTGGCGCCATAGAAGAAAATAAGAAAGTGCGATAAAAAGATTTGCTGATCTGAAGGCTAGAAAACAAAATTCATCGGCAGGCTAATAGTTCATACTGCACACGGCAGGTTAATTGTTTGTACTGTCCAAATACAAGTTAAGAAAAATAAAATTACTGTTCCTTGTTTGTTAAAAAAAAAAAAAAAAAAAAAAAAACAAGGAAAAAAAATTATAAAAAAACCCCAAGTTTTTTATTAATTGTTTGTACTGTCCAAATACAAGTTAAGAAAAATAAAATTACTTTTCCTTGTTTGTTAAAAAAAAAAAAAAAAAAAAAATGAACAAGGTAATAAACTTATTAACTAACCCCTAGTTTTTTCCTTGCAAAAATTTCTATGATTATACTTAAAAGGGGCGCAAAAGTTAAACTTGCCTGGGGCGCCAGCAACCGTAGGACCGGCACTGTACTTTAGACCATTAGTTTCCATCACCATAGTGATTGTAAATTGCTTCGCATTTTCTCTCCATTTCGCGCTCACTCTCAATCTCCCTCTCTCTCTCTTTCTTTCATCATCCCTTATACCCCACCGTCACAAAATTGTCGCACAATTGAGACACCCTCATAATACATTTTCTCAAAGTTATGACCCCACTCGACCACTAGTAGATGCGCGACATCATTTATAGTTGACTATATATCCGTCTTTCTCTCTGTCTCCCTCTCTCTATCTCTCAGAATTTTCGTCTCTTCGTATTTTTATACACACAACCCCCCTCCCCCCCCCACCACCTCCACTCTTCTTTCACACAAAAATTCAACGAACAATTCTTCTCACCAGTATGCACAAAATAAACTTGAGTGCCCTGGACAGCACTTCGTCCATCTGGACATCTTGGTCTCCCTCACTTCGCCTCTCCATCTCCTCCAACATCCTCTCCACCTCCTCCCCCACGACTCGCTCGAACCGCTCCGTCCCGTCTCCGTACAGCGCCGTTGCCTTGTGAAACAGCTTGCGCTTCTTCCGGGTGATGGCGTCGTACGGCGTGAAGAACAAGTCCTTCCCGTCGTACCACGTGAACTTGGACAGGAAGTTGCCCACCCGGTCAGATGTCAGACCCCTGAAGCGGTCCCCGGCGAGGACGAGCCTGGACAGTTCCGGGGTGTTGAGGTAGCAGAACCTGACGCCGCCAGAATTGAAGTACATGATTGGTCCGTATGTCTCCGCCCACCGGGCCGCGAGCTCCGGCACGCTTTCGTTCCACGAGGCCTTGAGCAGCTGCCACGTGCAGGACAGACCACGCGGGCCCGGGGGGATCTTGCTGGGGTAAGGCTTGAGGAGATAGTTGATGACGTAGAGGGCGACGAGTCCCGGGAGGATCCACCAGCAGCAGTTGATGATGTTAGCGGAAGTCACGTCTTCCATTGTAAGAGTTCGACTGATTTTTTCCCGCCTTTAAATGGGATTTCAAAGCTTGAATAAAAAAATATTTAAACAAATATCTATCGCTAAAATGTATCAGACATTAAATAGATTTAGGAATGGAGCGGTTTTTGGATAAATAACGGCGAAGTGAATAAACAAATTTTAGGTCCTACACTATCATAAAGCAGCGTTTCCCAAACTTTAAGTTTTGGGGACCGGTGGACACTTTTAGAAATTGCACCAGGGACCGTTGGACACATTTTGAAATTGCACCAGGGACCGCTGGACACGTTTTGAAATTGCACCAGGGACCGCTGGACACGTTTTGAAATTGCACCAGGGACCGCTGGACACGTTTTGAAATTGCACCAGGGACCGTTGGACACATTTTGAAATTGCACCAGGGACCGTTGGACACATTTTGAAATTGCACCAGGGACCGTTGGACACATTTTGAAATTGCACCAGGGACCGTTGGACACATTTTGAAATTGCACTAGGGACCGTTGGACACATTTTGAAATTGCACCAGGAACCGTTGGACACATTTTGAAATTGCACCAGGGACCGTTGGACTTATTTTGAAATTGCACCAGAGACAGTTGGACACCTTTTGAAATTGCACCAGGGACCGCTGGACACGTTTTGAAATTGCACCAGGGACCGGTTCCAGATTGATTGATTATATTTTATTATTTTGTTATTCGACCACAAGTATTCATGGTGTTCGGAACGGCAATGTAAGGCGCACGAACCGGCGGGACCGGCGCCGGTCCGCGTACCACCATTTGAGAATCACTGTTGTACAGACCCGGCTTCATTCATGCCATTCATCAGATTTCCATCTTGGAATTCTCAACTTCCACCCAGCGCACTTTCCATGGCGATAACTCAGAGAAAAGTTCATTTTCGTAAACTCTACTTTGCTACATGATCTATATTTTGTTTGTTTGTTGACCTGCGCCATGCCGTGAACCGAAGAAGGCGTTATAAGACATCGATTTCTTTGAATTTGTTTTAATCTTTTGACATACATTGGTTTTTAAATTCTCTAACAAGATACGTCGCTTAATAAAAACAAAAAAAATGTGGTAAGCACCGACCATTTCTTTAATCCTAACGTGACTTGATGCAGCGGTTCTCAACCTGTGGGTCGCGACCCCCCCAGGGGTCGCCTAAGACCATCTGAAAACACTTATCCTTACAGCTATGAAGTAGCAACGAAATTAATTGTGTGGCTGGGGGGTCGCCACGACACGAGAAACTGTATTAAAGGGTCGCGGCACTAGAAAGGTTGAGAACCACTGACTTAATGGGAGAAATTTTTTATGAGAGCCTGTCCAACCACGCGCTGTCCTCGGTCTATTTAAAACAACAACAGCATTGAACAATTATCCTCGAAATGTAGGCCGTCGAAAAACAGCAGTAGCCCTGTACCAACAATGGTAGTAGCCCGGTACAATCAGTGGTAGCCCTGTACCAACAGTCTTACCGTAAAGTTATCTAAGCGGCTCTTCTCGTTGGCTGCCCTTAAATTAAAAACCCGTGAATACTGATGTAGGTTGGTAAAGATGACCGATTTCAAAGGTTTACAACTGCTCCTCACGTGTGAGAAATCACTCGGCCATGTTTAAACACGGGGTCATTAAATAGTAAACATATAGACTACAGAAATCACTCGGCCATGTTTAAACACGGGGTCATTAAATAGTAAACATATAGACTACAGAAATCACTCGGCCATGTTTAAACACGGGGTCATTAAATAGTAAACATATAGACTACAGAAATCACTC